AATTCCTGTTCCTAACACGAACTATTTTTAGCCAATCATGGAATAAGAAATGTTAAAAATGAAATAGCTGTGCTCCCGACTGTGGTTTGGTTGACAGTCGGTGAAGTTCTCATTTCTCATTAGTGTTCTGTGCCTGCTATGATTCCTTTACAACAAGCCTCCACTGTTTTATACAGTATTCTTTCTATACTTCGTCCGCATACCGTTAATTTAAAACATTTCTTCAACTAAGTCAGAGATCGAAAAGAGCAAGTTTCGAAACCACTTCATTTTACTAATAGCCGACTTGCGAATTACGCATCAATAGTCACATACAAAGGAATCAAGACGAGGCGCCGTGCTTTTTTGTGAAAAATCTATTGTCTTTAGCACGGCGCCTCGTCTTGATTCCTTTGTATGTGACTATTGATGCGTAATTCGCAAGTCGGCTATTGATCATGACACATCATCGTTTTCAACACTTCTCTATTACAGTGTACCACAGGAGAACAGCCTGTCAAGAGTTTTTGTGGCTGATCTTTAATGCTGTGATAACGAAGTTAATAAATCCCGATGAATCTAATTTCCGACTGTGTTACCGCACAGTTACCGGACCTGGCCTTCACAATTTTGGTGAACCAATGGGGCACTAGAGCGGATTTCGTATGAGTGGGAAACGGACGGTACTGTACTGTGACCGTAATCGTACTGTAACCAAATTCTAGTGCCAATTCTTTGTTTCACCAAAATTGTGCAGGCCAGGTGCGGTAACTGTGCGGTAACCGTGCGGTAACGGTGTCCCACTCATACGAAATCCGCTCTAGAATTTGGTTACAGTACGATTACTGTCACAGTACAGTACCGTCCGCCATTAAAAAAAGAACATCACTTAAGGTTTGAAACTTAGAGCTTAGGGTATTTTTATAGAGCTGCTTTCAGTGAGTCAGTATCAAGCTATGATTATAATACTTTACGTCTAACAGACCATTTCTCCGGTAAAACCAAAGCGGTCAATATAACAAAATTATGACATTTTCACCAGCATTNATTCAAAATAAACAAAGTGCTATTTTTAAAATCATTCATTAATCATTTATGTATCAATATCATGCCATATACCCTAAATAATTCCTGTTCCTAACACGAACCTTTTTTAGCCAATCATGGAACAAGAAATCTTAAAAATGAAATAACTCTGCTCCCGACTGTGGTTTGGTTGACAGTCAGTAAAGTTCTCATTTCTCATTGTTCTTTGCCTGCTGTATGATTCCTTTACAACAAGCCCCCAAACCGTATCTGGGTTGGCCATCGGTACGCTTGCAGTCTTTGTTGCTTTCCTTGAATTCAATTCAGGTGAGCTTTGTWACCACATGAATAATCACTGGAACCAAATGCCTCACTTGATTCAAGCAATTCGCGTCACAGTTCACTCTGTCGAAGGGTTCTTTCTGGAGTTATGGAGTTACCTTCTCTTGTCGACAGTCGTCCCTTGAAGAACTCAATCTTCTGACACTCAATCTTCTTGTATCGTTTGTCGATATGTGTTATCGATTGCTCTTCCAAATATACGGCATCTACGGATTAGAATGGAAGTCATATCCTCTACTTGGCTTATTCGCTTGTATAACTACTTTGAATGCATTTATTCTTGCTCGACGTCTTAAGCCACCACAGAACAGCGTCAACGGTTGGTGGCAAGTCCTAAAACTAACCTTCCGTTTGTCAGCACAGTTTCTTCTTGGAATGTTGGCCAGTACCTTTCTTATCTATAAGCTATTACCTTGGTTTAACAAACAAGATGGTTACATTAAGGTTGCCGTCGCTGCATTTTCTCCTATTGTGACACCTAAAGCAATTTCACGGATCGGGGCCCAGCGGCTGGAGTCCATCCATCCAGGAACCGCCCATGTGTTTGTATCGATGCTATATGGAACAGGCACAATATCTCTTCGAATTTTACAGGCAGATATGAACACGTTGGCATTGTACATCGCTCTGAGCGTGGTCCATGGAATTGTTGACGTTCTGGAAAGGCTAGCGATAACGATGAGAGACAACATCTGGGAATACCTGTTGAACAGGTTATTCAGGAAGTACCGTTCACCAAGAAGCCGTCGTTTTATGGCTAATCTTAGTATACAGATAATGCTTCAAGAAGCCACCGCTTTGCTATCGGCGCTTGGGTTTGTACAGCTGTACGTTATGTATGGTGATTCCAAACCCTCCAACGTGCCACAACTGGTTTATTCATCGATCTTGTGTTCAACACGATTTCAGTTGTCATTAAAACATACTGAATGACAACGAATGAATTTCCCTATCATGAGGGTATGGAAGAAGAATTGGCGACATCATGTCATTGTTTCCGAGTTCTTGTATGGTGTAGTGAGAAATAAATACAACCTTGAGGCAGACATCACGAAAGCTTGGAACTGTACTTTACCCTTTACAAAATAGTAGCGTGCTAAACGCTGATTTTGTCCCAAAGACACATTTCAATAGTTACATAGGAAGAAATATATTTTACCACATTAGGAAATGTACTTACAAACTTAATTGCATGAGGCTCCTGCGATCTGCAAAGTCTTCCTTTTTTGTTTTTATTGTCATCATCCACTATGGTATTTAAAGTTTAGAATTTAAAAAATCCATTAAAAAAAGATCACTTAAGGTTTGAAACTTAGAGCTTAGGGTATTTTTATAGAGCTGCTTTCAGTGAGTCAGTATCAAGCTATGATTATAATACTTTACGTCTAACAGACCTTTTCTCCGGTAAAACCAAAGCGGTCAATATAACAAAATTATGACATTTTCACCAGCATTGTCTTAGCATTGAAAAAATGAACATTTTTCTGCTTCGATTCTGCCTCGCATTGATGCAAAACCACANCTGATCTTAGTATACAGATAATGCTTCAAGAAGCCACCGCTTTGCTATCGGCGCTTGGGTTTGTACAGCTGTACGTTATATATGGTGATTTCAAACCCTCCAACACTACTCACGATCCTGTTCATGGTGACTTTTTCATACGTGCCACAACTGGTTTATTCAAACATATTGCATGAATTTCCCTATCATGAGGGTATGGAAGAAGAATTGGCGACATCATGTCATTGTCAGTGCCATTATATCCGTGCTATCAATCATCGATTTTTCCAAGAATTTATACAGCGTTGTGAGAAATAAATACAACCTTGAAGCAGACATCACGAAAGGTTGGAACTGTACTTCACCCTTTACAAAGTAGTAGCTTGCCATACGCCGTTAACTTTTGGATCCCATACTTGACCAGGCAGTGAACACATTCCGCAGTTTGATACATTACTTTTCAATAATTATTTGATTCTGCTAACGATATTTATCTTATGGTCTTTTGAATATTATTATTCAGAGATTTTTGAAGTAATGTTTAAAGTCCGACAATGAGGACTGGACGGGATTTCAAGTCCGCGCAATTAGTTCCAGTCCGAGGCGTTAGCCGTTATTTGAGAGGGGAAAAAAGTGAAGGAAATACATATAACAGAAATATATTAATTGATTGCATCTCCACTAAAGTTTTCAGTTTTCATAATTTTGAATACATGAAGCACCGTTTGTTGTTCTCTAATTCCCGGACGGCTTTCTGAAACAAAAGCTATTCAAATTGTCTTTGTCTGCTATTCATGGCATTCCTAATGAGCCTAATTCATAAGATTTATAAGTATGTTATCTTCCGAGGAATCGCATCAGAAACTCGGTGGTGTAATGGTATAAGACGGCGCATATAGACTGAACGGTAGGGGATCGAGTCGTGAGAGAGTCATGTATCAAAGACCTTTTTTCACTAAATTAATGTCAAAGTGATTATTTCTAATAATTTGATTATCATTAGCTAGTAGTAGTTGGAAACATGGTAGAAGTAACTGGAAATTGATCGTTTTCCACCATTCCCAGGAGATTCAAAAGACTATAAAAGATCGGCGGCCATGTTGGAGGAATGAACAATAGATTCTAATCTAAAATCTTTTGTTGAGGTTCCTCCAAGATGGCCGCTGTGACGTAACTTGAAAACGATGAATAAGGTAGAAATAACTGGAAATAATGTAGAAGTAACTTGACAAAGGTAGAAGTAACTGGAAATAAGGTAGAATACAAGGTACGAGTACTTCCTCTGGTTTCAAGTTACTTCACGTGGTACAAATTACAATCAGGGATTGGCTGGATACCTCATGAATAATTAATGAGTATGAGAGTTTCCGTTAAGCATTAGCTTTGTTTGTTTTTTTTCAGAGTCCGCTTTTGCTGCCATTTTTTTCCCGTCATGGGTTATGCTTACAGCTTCATCTTGTCAACTCCGTCCTGATTGGCTAGTTATATTTTCTTGATTCAGGTAAATGTTATCGTTTTAATCTAGTTACGATTCGTTAATAGAAGCCATGGGTCAAGGAAAAAAACTACATTTAAAAGGGACTCAGCGAGGTGAAACAACTTTTCAAGTAAAATCACACAAATCTAGACCCAATTAACGGGCTCGCTGCCTGCCATTGACCTAATGTTTTATATCCATACCGCGAAATCTGCCTTTCGTACTACCGGTCTCAGTGAATGATAGAGCAAAATCATTTTCAAAATTTTTAAATACTCCAAACAATGCGCCGCCATCACTTAACTTACTTGCAACTATAGTAGTCTGTACAAAATTTATATATTGTTAGTTTATTGTTCTAACCGAAGTCTT